AAAAACACAAAATTTAAAGTTTGATAATTTTTTTTTTTTTTTTTTTTTGTTGTTGCAAAAAGCTTTATTGTCTCATTTGGTCCAATGCATGGGAGAGGGCTCCAGGGTGGTTAAAGGAATGGCTAGTAGTTTCGGGAAGAGGCTCAGGTAAAAGCCAGAGACGCCAGGGGGGTGAAGGGGGGGCCTCGGAAAGGCCTCTGGGCTCCAAAGGCTCCTAGTCGTGCTTGAGGGTGAGCCTCTCGAAGAGATACTCGCCCAGCCCAGCCTGGGGGCCGGCCAGCCTGCGGATGTTAGTCAGGTGGTCGCCCATCTTCTTGATGAGTTTCACCTCCTCATCCAGGAAGTGGTTCTCCAGGAAGTCGCAGAGATGAGGGTCGACACGGGTCGAACCCAGGGCATGCAGATCCAAAAGGGCCTGGTTCAGGTTCTTCTCCAAGGCCAGGGCGGCTTCCATGGCGTCCTGAGTTTTGCCCCACTCATCCTGGGAAGGTTTCTGCACGTCCTGGAAGAGAATGCGGCCGCCACGCTTGTTCTGCAACTTCAGGAGATGCTCCGCGCCCTCGCGCTTCTTCTCCGCCAGCTCGCGGAAGAAGTGGCCCACGCCCTCCAGAGCCACATCGTCGCGGTCGAAATAGTAGCCCAGAGAGAGGTAGGTGTAGGAGGTCCGCAGATGCAGGTTGGCCAGGCGGTTGACCGCAGCCTCCACCTCGGTGGAATAATTCTGACGAATTTGGGAGCTCATGGTTGTCCGGCAATAAGGAGTTTAAGGTAGAAAAAAAAAACAAAACCGGTGTTGGCTGGTCCCGGGGGTGGTCCTGAAGGTGGTGAGTGGATGAGACGCAGGAGAGTGGCCGGAGGCTGGAAGAAGGGGCGTCCCTGGGTCTGTTCCGTCCAAACACTGTTGAAGCAAGAGACAGATCCGGGAGCTCCGAGTGCGGTGGGAGGGGGCCCCTCCAGTGCCTGGCCCCCTCCCCAAACCGGTTGCCATCAGCTCCCTTGCGGGTAGCCCCTCCCCTCACCCCCGTGTCCAGCTCTGCCCAGAGCAAGCCTCAACCTCAGTCCCAGCGAAGCCTCACCGTGGAGATGCTCATAGTGAAAACGTGGAAACTGAGGCCCCCTGAGGTCAGGCCGCTGTCCAGGTCCCACAGGGGGTCCTCGCAGCAGCAGTGGGGCCCAGGCTCCTCTGACTGGACGCTCACTATGGGACGGTTCTGGGGGGTGTGGGCAGAGGAAGAAAGAGACCAGTGTTGGGGGCTGGGGACCGGAGATTCTGACCTCACCTCCCACCCCAACCTCCTGAGGGACAGAGTTCATTCCCCTCCACCCCCATTAAAAAAAAAAATCTTCCTGCCCTGGCTGGTTTGGCTCAGTGGATAGAGCATCGGCCTGAGGACTGAAGGGTCCTGGGTTCGATTCCAGTCAAGGGCACATGCCTGGGGTTACGGTGGGTCCCCAGTGGGGGATTTCCGGAGGCAGCCAGTTGGTGGTTCTCTCTCATCATCGATGCTTCTATCTCTCTCTCTCTCCCTTCCTCTCTGAAATCAATAAAGTATATATATATTTTAAAAATCTTCCTGTGATCTCAAAGTCCAAACCCACAGAATGTGCACCAGCAGGAGTGATCCCTAATGGAACCTGTGGGCTCTGGGTGATGATGTGTCTGTAGGTTCATCGATTGTAACAAATGTTCCCTCTGGTCCCAGATGCTGGTAGTGGGGGTGGCTATGCACATGTAGGGGGACGGGGGTGTCATCTCTGTACCCATCTGCTGTCTGTTCAGTGTTCCTGTGAACCTAAAACTGCTCTGAAAGCAAACAAAAGCTGGGGTGGGTCCTGAAGGCCCTGCAGGGGAGGGTGTCTACTGACTGCTCGTGCAGCGGAGCAGCAAGCTCCTCCCTGAAGGCGGAGCTGAGCGTGCCCCTCCAGGGCTGCCACAGTCCACCCCCTGCACCGTGA